GAAGATCTAACAATTGTAAATATCTATGCCCCTAACGTGGGAGCAGCCAACTATATAAACCAATTAATAACAAAATCAAAGAAACACATCGGCAATTATACAATAATAGTAGGGGACTTTAACACTCCCCTCACTGAAATGGGCAGATCATCCAAGCAAAAGATCAACAAGGAAATAAAGGCCTTAAATGACACACTGGACCAGATGGACATCACAGATATATTCAGAACATTTCATCCCAAAGCAACAGAATACACATTCTTCTCTAGTGCACATGAAACATTCTCCAGAATAGATCACATCCTTGGTTCTAAATCAGGTCTCAACCGGTATCAAAAGATTGGGATCATTCCCTGCATATTTTCAGACCACAATGCTCTGAAGCTAGAACTCAATCGCAAGAGGAAATTTGGAAAGAACCCAAATACATGGCGACTAAACAGCATCCTTCTAAAGAATGAATGGGTCAACCAGGAAATTAAAGAAGAATTGAAAAAAATCATGGAAACAAATGATAATGAAAATACAACAGTTCAAAATCTGTGGGACACAATAAAGGCAGTCCTGAGAGGAAAATATATAGCGGTACAAGCCTTTCTCAAGAAACAAGAAAGGTCTCAGGTACACAACCTAACCCTACACCTAAAGGAGCTGGAGAAAGAACAAGAAAGAAACCCTAAACCCAGCAGGAGAAGAGAAATCATAAAGATCAGAGCAGAAATCAATGAAATAGAAACCAAAAAAAAAAAAAATAGAACAAATCAAGGAAACTAGGAGCTGGTTCTTTGAAAGAATTAATAAGATTGATAAGCCCCTGGCCAGACTTATCAAAAAGAAAAGAGAAAGGACCCAAATAAATAAAATCATGAATGAAAGAGGACAGATCACAACGAACACCAAAGAAATACAGACAATTATAAGAACATATTATGAGCAACTCTATGCCAACAAATTTGACAATCTGGAAGAAATGGATGCATTCCTAGAGACATATAAACTACCACAACTGAACCAGGAAGAAATAGAAAGCCTGAACAGACCCATAACCAGTAAGGAGATTGAAACAGTCATCAAAAATCTCCAAACAAACAAAAGCCCAGGGCCAGATGGCTTCCCGGGGGAATTCTATCAAACATTTAAAGAAGAACTAATTCCTATTCTCCTGAGACTGTTCCAAAAAATAGAAATGGAAGGAAAACTTCCAAACTCATTTTATGAGGCCAGCATCACCTTGATCCCCAAACCAGACAAGGATCCCATCAAAAAAGAGAACTACAGACCAATATCCTTGATGAACACAGATGCAAAAATTCTCACCAAAATACTAGCCAATAGGATTCAACAGTACATTAAAAGGATTATTCACCACGACCAAGTGGGATTTATTCCAGGGCTGCAAGGTTGGTTCAACATCTGCAAATCAATCAATGTGATACAACATATTAATAAAAGAAAGAACAAGAACCATATGATACTCTCCATAGATGCTGAAAAAGCATTTGACAAAGTACAGCATCCCTTGCTGATCAAAACTCTTCAAAGTGTAGGGATAGAAGGCACATACCTCAATATTATCAAACCCATCTATGAAAAACCCATCGCAAATATCATTCTCAATGGAGAAAAACTGAAAGCTTTTCCGCTAAGGTCAGGAACACGGCAGGGATGTCCGTTATCACCACTGCTATTCAACATAGTACTAGAAGTCCTAGCCTCAGCAATCAGACAACAAAAAGAAATTAAAGGCATCCAAATCAGCAAAGAAGAAGTCAAACTATCACTCTTCGCAGATGATATGATACTATATGTGGAAAAGCCAAAGGACTCCACTCCAAAACTGCTAGAACTTGTACAGGAATTCAGTAAAGTGTCAGGATATAAAATCAATGCACAGAAATCAGTCGCATTTCTCTACACCAACAACAAGACAGAAGAAAGAGAAATTAAGGAGTCCATCCCATTTACAATTGCACCCAAAACTATAAGATACCTAGGAGTAAACCTAACCAAAGAGACTAAGAATCTATACACAGAAAACTATAAAGTACTCATGAAAGAAATTGAGGAAGACACAAAGAAATGGAAAAATGTTCCATGATCCTGGATTGGAAGAATAAATATTGTGAAAATGTCTATGCTACCTAAAGCAATCTACACATTTAATGCAATTCCTATCAAAGTACCATCCATTTTTTTTCAAAGAAATGGAACAAATAATCCTAAAATTTATATGGAACCAGAAAAGACCACGAATAGCCAATGGAATATTGAAAAAGAAAGCCAAAGTTGGTGGCATCACAATTCCGGACTTCAAGCTCTATTACTAAGCTGTCATCATCAAGACAGCATGGTACTGGCACAAAAACAGACACATAGATCAATGGAACAGAATAGAGAGCCCAGAAATAGACCCTCAACTCTATGGTCAACTAATCTTCGACAAAGCAGGAAAGAATGTCCAATGGAAAAAAAGGCAGCCTCTTCAATAAATGGTATTGGGAAAATTGGACAGCCACATGCAGAAAATGAAATTGGATCATTTCTTTACACCACACATGAAAATAGACTCAAATGGATGAAGGACCTCAATGTGAGAAAGGAATCCATCCAAATCCTTGAGGAGAACACAGGCAGCAACCTCTTCGACCTCAGCCGCAGCAACATCTTCCTAGGAACATCGCCAAAGGCAAGGGAAGCAAGGGCAAAAATGAACTATTGGGATTTTATCAAGATCAAAAGCTTTTGCACAGCAAAGGAAACCGTTCACAACACCAAAAGACAACTGACAGAATCGGATAAGATATTTGCAAACGGCATATCAGATAAAGGGCTAGTGTCCAGAATCTATAAAGAACTTAGCAAACTCAACACCCAAAGAACAAATAATCCAATCAAGAAATGGGCAGAAGACATGAACAGACATTTCTGCAAAGAAGACATCCAGATGGCCAACAGACACATGAAAAAGTGCTCCATATCACTCGGCATCAGGGAAATACAAATCAAAACCACAATGAGATACCACCTCACACCAGTCAGAATGGCTAAAATTAACAAGTCCGGAAATGACAGATGCTGGCGAGGATGCGGAGAAAGGGGAACCCTCCTACACTGTTGGTGGGAATGCAAGCTGGTGCAACCACTCTGGAACCTCCATGGAAAACAGCATGGAGGTTCCTCAAAATGTTGAAAATAGAACTACCCTATGACCCAGCAATTGCACTGCTGGGTATTTACCCTAAAGATACAAACGTAGTGATCCGAAGGGTCACGTGCACCCGAATGTTTATAGCAGCAATGTCTACAATAGCCAAACTATGGAAAGAACCTAGATGTCCATCAACAGACGAATGGAAAAAGAAGAAGTGGTATATATATACAATGGAATACTACGCAGCCATCAAAAGAAATGAATTCTTGCCATTTGCGACAACGTGGATGGAACTAGAGGGTATCATGCTTAGCGAAATGAGTCAAGCGGAGAAAGACAACTATCATATGATCTCCCTGATATGAGGGAGAGGAGATGCAACATGGGGGGTTAATGGGGTAAGAGAAGAGTAAATGAAACAAGTTGGGATTGGGAGGGAGACAAACCATAAGTGACTCTTAATCTCACAAAACAAACTGAGGGTTGCTGGGGGAAGGGGGGTTGGGAGGGGGGGTGGGGTTATGGACATTGGGTAGGGTATGTGCTATGGTGAGTGCTGTGAAGTTTGTAAACCTGGAGATTCACAGACCTGTACCCCTGGGGGGGAAAATATATGTTTATAAAAAATAAAATTAAAAAAAGGGAGTATGCACAATGTACAAAATAAAAATAACAAGGGGATAATAGACATTGGAAAAGAAAAATGAAAATATTTGAAATCCTTAATTATAGACCACTATGAAAAATTACACTCCTTTTGACGGCCTATGCATTAAAATTGGAGCCATACAGAAGCTTAGCATGGTTTCTGGACAAAGATGACATACAAATAAGTGAGGCAATCCAAATATTTACAGATGGTGGTGATGTCCCCACAGAAATGCACGGGTTTCTCATGCCATTAAATAGAATACTTACAAGGGCACCTGTTCTGTGATTCAGTCTCTGAAATGTGCACAGTAGGGAACTCACTGCAGACAGGAGGGGGTTGGGGGCCACAGAGGGTGGAGTTCTGGGGGACAATGGCCAGACTGTTGGGTATCAGGTTTCTCTGCATGTAATGGTAATGATGTCAATTTGATCATGGTGGTTGTGGCCATACCCCTGATGTGGGAAACGATCACATAAGAAAAATATTAAATTTCCTTATTACTACAGCCCAATTACAAGTCCTTGAAACAGGCTGAGTGACATCGCTCTAGGAACTCAACTGCCCCCATGTTAATCTCTTGCTAAGGGTAAAAGACAAACTTAGCCCAATCCCCATGATCCTGTCAGTCTACTTTAACTTATAAATAGTCCTTAAGAAATTACCTTTATCTTTAAACCCCCCTAGAAATGTGTTGGCAATCATCCCCCAAGCATATGGTCCACCGATATATACCTGATGGGTCTCGTGTCTAAGGGTTTATTAGAGGGTAACAAATCACATTTTCCTAACAATAGTTAGCCCCCACAAGGTCCTGGAAAACTTCCAAAATTATTTAGAGACTTACACAATCCCTAACCCCCTCCCAAGTTGAAAATATATAATGGGTCACTCTGTTTGTCTCCACTGCAGCTTTTCTGCTCATGGGTCCTGTCCCTGTGTTTTAATAAAACCACGTTTGTTGCACCAAAGAAGTCTCAAGATTTCTTTCATTGCCATTGGCTTTGAGTGATAATGTTCTTTCCTACATTACTGGGGCACCTGTGCTGTCTCAGGCAACAGCACAATCAGTGTGTCACTCCCTCCTCCTCAAGGACAGGCCTTCCCACAGAGTACTCTACCCTACAGGAGCCTCCAGAGAAGTTTCTCAATTAAAGAGGCTCAGAGGCAAGATCTCTGGTTTTTTGTCTCACTTCCTTGTTATCTGAGACATTGGGAGTAATGATAGCTGCTGCCACTGCTATGGTATATAGCACAGTAATAGTCAGCCTCGTCCTCAGGCTGGAGCCCAGAGATGAGTAGAAGCCCTGCATTGGCATCTTTGGAGCCAGAGAAGCGGCTGGGGACCCCCGAGCCCTGGTGCTTATCTGAGTCTGAGTAGAACCACAGGAGATACCTGGGAAGGCTCCCTGGCTTCTGCTGGTACCAGTATATGTTATAACTCCCGACACTGAAGCCACTGCTCAGGTTGCCGCTGAGTCTGGCTGTTGTTCTGAGAAAGGCAGAGAGAGATGGTGGCTGAGTCAGCCTTGGCTGGGAGAGGGAACCTGCAAACAGAGAGAAACATAGAAATTTCTCATGACCCTGAGTTCATGAAGACTGACTTTGAAGGTTTCCAAAGTTCCCTGAGACCTGTCCCTACCTGTACACTGGGAGAGGAGCATGAAGAGGACAGGAATCCAGGCCATGGTGACATAGATACAGGACCCCACTTGTGTTGGGCTGCCCCAGACTTCCTTTTCTCCTAAACTCTCTGCCATAGGCGGGGCTGCCCATGCAAATGGGGTCCATCCAGTGACTACACAGCCCCTCCCAGAGCCCTGGTGCTGGAGTTCAGCTCCCACCACATACTGGGGAGGATGGTGTTTGGTTTCAACCCCTGGGGAGAGTCCTGGGAGGAAGCACCTGCTGAGATCACAAGTATGTACTTGCTCCAGGGACTGTGCCAGACCTGAGAAGACACAGCTGCTGAACCCCTGTTATGGAGGACAGCACCCAGTCCCCAAGTCATTTCTCTTGAGTGAATGTTCTACAGTGAGCAACTCTGTAGGGATCACAGGGCAGTCCAACAGCTCCCCTTACTGGTCACAAGGTGCAGCAGGTCCTGCATCCCAAAGCCCTGAGAGCCCGGCTGATTTCTGCAGCTCTAGAGTTCCCTCTCTATACACACATCTGAGGACCAATTCTTAGTACGTCGTTTCCCCTGCTGTCCCTAAGATTCCTTAGTAAACCACAATGACATAAGGCAAATGAATAATTAAGATTTATTGATATGCACAATCTTCTGCATGTTTCCAGACTCAAAAAATAAACTGTCCTAGACTTCTCTAATACCTATGGACAGTTTGCTGTCACACATACAGAATAAATGTAGATAAAGCACAGATGATAACATACACATTTCAAAATCCTAGTGTCTTGATACTGAGCTGCTGTGTGTAGTTTCCAGGGAAAGAGCTGGAAAGTGATCCTCATGTTTTCTGAGTTGTGCACTGTCTTGTAGAGTCTCCCTGAAAAAACAAATGCAATGCTTTCTTGGCTATATATATATATATATATATATATATATACACACATATATGTATGTATATAAATACATACACACATATGTATTTATATAATATAAGTATGTGTGTATATATGTATATATGTGTATATATATATATATATATAGAGAGAGAGAGAGAGAGAGAGAGAGAGTCTCAGTTTAGAAGTTTAATGGGAAATGTTAGTGTTTTCCATATGTGTTCAATGCTTGAGCAGTTGCTTCCATAAACTTCCCCTTCTTCAGTGCCCCATGAATCTTGTTCAGCTTTCATTATTTGGCCGTGGCAGGAGCTCTGTGTGACATTTGATTGTATTTATCTCTATAAAAATGATATTCAGTCCCTCCTCAGAATGACGTCAAGAGACAGTAAAAGAGTTCCTGATAACACAGTTGGATCTGGGGAATGTGGTTGGAATGAGGATCATCCTTCATACTGCCCCAAGTACAAGCATAGGGTCTCAGTCTGAGCCTTGGTAACAATTTCATATGAATCCCCAGTATTTCTTCTTACCTGGGCAAGTAATGGTGGCCTCAAATCTGGAGTCACCAAGAGCTTCACAGGGGCAGTGACACATATACTTTTGGGGGAATCTATGCTTTGGACATCCCACAGCCTGACCTCACAGAAGCTCTAATAAGGTATGGGGGTGAGCAAGTAAGAGACCCTGATTGTGGGCTCAGGAAAACACATTCAGGGGAGTCTCCATGGGCCCTGAGTGGTGTTGGCTGTAGCAGAGTCTCACCCCCATAGACCTCATTCCCCCAGAATCTCTGGGACATGCTCTCCCTTTTCCAGCAATGATTAAACATCTCCCATACTCTCCTGGCTCATAACAGGGCCCCTAGCTTCAAGCCCCAAATTTACTCTTTCCTTGAATTCACAGCAGAATGCTCAGATGGCCAGCAAATATTCCAAGCCAACCCCTCCCAGGTGTGTGCCCTCAAACAGCATCTCACATCCTGGAGCCTCATCCATGGAGCAGAGGATGCATTGGCCAGTCCTGGGCACAGGATCCTGAGCAGGAAGCGTGGATCTCTGCTCTGACACCTGGCAGGGAGGAGTTCATGTTGTGGAAGACTGACTACCTATTGAGATTGTCCCTGAGCTCTGTTGAGGATAAATATAAAGAAACACTAGTTTTATTTATTTCCAAGGGGGGGGGCTGTAGGACAGAATCTGGCTTTATCCCAGAAAAATGGCCAGGAAATGTCATCATCATGACATTGAAGCATTTGCTGATTTTTTTTTTCTTGAAGCCATAGCATCACTGAATGGATAATCGAGAGTAGACCCATCATAAGCTAGGTGGTAAATACAAGTAGTTTGTGTATATACATTTTTTACATGGTCATAGAACAAGACTCTGAGCAGGTGGAGCGTTCAGTTCCATGTCTCCATTGGTCTGTGTAACTGTGAGAAGCCCTGTTGTCCAATCACACAGCAATAGTCAGCCTCTTCCTCAGCTTGCAGCGCAAAGATGAGCAGAAGCCCTGAATTGGCCGAGGCATCTTTGCAGACAGGGAACCAGCCGGGGACATCAGGTCTCAGTTGTGTGCTTGTGTCTGAGTAGTAGTTCAGCAGATACTGGGGAGGGCTCCCTGGCTTCTGCTGGTATCAGTATATGTTATAACTGCCAACACTGAAGCCACTGCTCAAGATGCAGGTGAGTCTGGCTGTTGTTCCCAGAGATGCAGAGAGTGAGGGTGGCTGGGTCACCACAGGCTGGGACAGTGAACCTATAACAAAGTCACACATTCATAATGGAATTGGGGCCACTTGGCAGCTGACAAGGGATTAGATCAGGGGCACCTACACAGATTGGAGGGGCTTCCCTGCCACTCCAATGTTTGTCCCTACCTGTGCAGTGAGAGAGGATCATGAGGAGGAGAGGGCTTCAGATCCTGGTGGTTACAGTCCCAGAGGTCATAGAGCTGAGACTGGGCTAAGCCAGGTCTTTCTTATCCACTTTACAGCCTAAGAGGGAGGACACTGTCATGTAAATTTGCCCCCATCTGTATCTGGTTGTGTCCCTCTCTGAGCTATGACAAGGAACCTGAGTAAGGTTTGTGGACAGAGAAATAAAAAGGGAAAAGATGCTCTGAGTTTTTCTGTGTAAAGAATCCAAGCGGAAGCAGCTGTGTGGTCAAACCACAGGTATGTGGGTAATGGGGACTCCCTGGCAACATTTGGGACAGTGGCTGAGACCTGACCACTGTGTTAGGGACCAGTGCCCTCTAGAATGACTTGGTGTCAGAGTGGTTGCCTAACTGGAACTGCCCCCATTGACTCAAGGAGAGCCATGCCAACCCCTGTTGGTCATGTGTCCATCTGCAGGCACCTGGGAGGTTCCCGTGGACTCTGAATCTGTCCTTGTCACTGTCATTCAACAAACAGGGAGTAACATGCCTGTGTGGCAAGCAGTGTGGTCAGGTTGAATTTACTGATGTTAGCGCACTCTATGTGGGATTGGGAGGATTGGATTTTATAGGAAATATCAATATTAAATAATACTATCTGCTTGCTTTTTGATGTCTGGCTTCATACAGATTGTGCATATGTTGTGTCCAGTTTAGTGTTGACTGTGATGTGAGGGGCCCTAGTAGGTCTGCCTCATCATGGCCACTAGACAGAACATATTGTGCTTTTCAGAGTTCTTTCTCTGAATTGGTGTTTCCCATCTGGATTCAGTCTCAGAACTTGACATTATTTCAGCGCAATTATTGAGGTCAAAACCGGGTACCTAATTGAGCCCCTATACCCATAAAGGTAGTCTGCCACATCATTGCTGTTTCTCTGGCCAGACAGGGGAAAACTGCTGGTACTCTGTGTGATTCAGGTAATTCCCACAACAGTAAGCACCAGCAGGTCTTAGCATGATAACCCCAAATTTCCCACTCTAAAGATCTACCCCAAATATTGCATCAACTCAGAAACTTCCTGTTGTCATAAAATAGATGGTTGTACCCTTTGTCACTGTAATTTGCAAGTTGGAATTTCTGATGCATAGCCTGCATTGTCATTCTCAGCACAGAATTTATTCTAGCTCCCAGAAAATGATTTCTGGATCATCTTTTGAAAGACCTATCTTAAGTTCAAGGGGGAAATCTCACCCTTTTCTCTGGCCCCTTGTCTCTGGAATAAGGAGTATAGAGACTACAAAGCACTGTTCCATTCCTCCTGATCCCTGCAACTGAAGAACAAGGTCAGGGGTATCTTCATGAGATGTCACACATTTATCATCCCCACCTGTGTCCCTCTGTCCAGGGAAAATGACTCTGAAGGAGAGAAGACCCCTCATGGTGAGGAAGCTATCACTGCAAGACGGCACAGGACAGGGTTCCCACATGATGAAAGTCCCCATGATATCTCTTGGCAGATCTCAGACAAGGAAAAGTTGCAAATCACATTTATCGCCCAGAGAAACCCCTCGGTATGGGTGCATGAGCCCACAACTACAACAAAGATCACCTGAACTGCACAGTCTGTGATGACAAATGGCTCCAGTCATGATTATCTTGGCTTTCAATGCTCGCTGGAAGTCCACAATCATGAGAATGCTCAAAGATCTCTGCTCTAATCTTGATTAGTTCCCTTCTTATGTGTGGAGTTGGTTTGATTTGTTGTTGATTCTCCAGTTCTTTAAGGTGAAAGAGAGGTTTGACCAAGGACCTGGGACCTTTTTGAGTTTGCAGAGCTTCTCTGATATGTGATAGAATCCTGTTAATTCATTCTCAGGGGCACTTCCAGCCACACAAACTGTCCACATGAGGAAGGGTGATTCCCCACCGTGAAGTAGTCAATATTCAACATTGATCTAACATCCACATTCAGGAGAATTTTTCTTCACTGCAAAGTTGCTGCAAATGCAAATCTCACAAGGTTCTGTGTTTTCCCAGCCAATCAGACTTTACTGCAAATATTCCATGGTGAACTTGGCAACCGTAAAGTGGTGATTTACCTCACCTGTATCCTATCTTCATATCCTGTGGAATTGCAACTTCTTTTCTTTTTCTGTATATGTCCCTAGACCCTGAGTACTCTTGGCCTTGTCAGCATTACGGCATGAGCCCCAGTTCATCTTGAGATGAAGAAGAAACATGGCTCTTCCAGCTGCTTCTGTGATGAGGGAACCTGATGCTGGGTGTCCAGTGCACACAGGGGAGACAGGCACACAGTCTC